TTGCTACCCCTTCCAGGAGAGCTTGGCTTATGCAGGAGTAGAGTAGGGAATGGTCCCCGACTTTTTTTTATTCCCTGGTTCAGTTGTGCAAATCAACTGGGATGTATTGTGAGGTGTTGTGTGGAGACGAAAGTGAAAATGTAAATCTTTCCATAGGTTGAAACAGGAAAGAAGGCAATATCAAATATTATGATCATTATTAGTCATTTTATTATTTTTTACTTTTTATATTATTGTTCTTTTTACATTTTTATTTCTATACTATCATATAATATATATAGTGTGAAGTGTGTTGATATCTCGGTGATGGTGTATAAAGTTGTAGAACAGAGGTGGTGATATACTCGGAGTAGTCTAGATATCTCTTATGGGGGAGGTCAGTGGTTTCCTTTGGTCTGGCTCTGTGTGTATAGCACCCCCCCACCCCAGTGATCATGTGAGCAGCACTGGATGAACACAATCTGCATTAGCTGGTCACATGGACACATGTGATCAACGGAGGGTGTTGAGCTGTATAGACATCAGGTGACCACATACCAACCAGGCGGGTTTTATCTCCTTCATGTGTCATTCTTCTGTCTTAATTACACAAACATTTCAGAGAAAAAAAAAAAAAAAATCTTCCCTCTAGCATGTTTGGTGCACCATGGGGGGTGGGGAGAGTCACCGTGTGCTGAAGACATCCAAAAAATAGTCCATTTAGGAAGAGGACCTGTCTAATATGAAGGAGCTCTGCACACATTGTGAACATTACATGGAAGCTGCACGCTACCTCTATGTCATGCACTCTGCCGAAAGCGTATTTCCACCTTTGCAGGCAAATCCTCTCCCTATATTTGTTGTGTATTCCCATTCTCGCAACATATCTATAAAGAATGGACAAAGATTTCTGAACATTCTAGTTGTTTGTTTGCAGCATGGTTATACATACTCTACAGGCATTTGGAATTTTTCAGAGTAACTGGCTGAACAGTATAAATTGGGGCCATACACATAAATATTTCTCTCATTCAGCCTGGAAGGCAGAACAAGATAAGTCGCTCTATTCCCCCATTCATGCTAGACAGCGTTGATAGAGGATTCTCCACTGCTGGCTATTGTATTCTGAGAGCTGACACCTGTGGCTGCCCAAACAAAGACTTTAGCTCTGCAATTACTTGGCTGCAGAACTTGTAAGACCAACTTTTTTTCTTTCAGCTGTTCAGCTCCTTCGACTTTTTTCACTTTTTTTTTTCTTTTACAAGTACATTACCATACCATGTACCACCCATGCCTTGAAATATCTAGCTCTTTGTTAAGACAAACGTCATGCACATCTCTGATAATAAGATCTGCCAGCATAGTGCAGACAAGGTTTATTATGATGAGCATTATTGGTGCCGATGCCAAAGGTTTGGGCGAGTACGAGTACTCGCCCAAATGCTCCGATGCCTAGCCCAATACCTCCGGTATCAGGAAGCAGGACAGTGAGTCATTACACGCTGCCCGGCTTCCCGGCATTGTGTAAACACTTGCTGCCCGGCTTCCTGATCGGTCAGGAAGCTGGCCAATCAGGAAGCCGGGCGCCGTGTAATGATGCGGCGCCCGGCTTTCTGATTGGCCGGGAAGCCGGCTTCATGCTCCCTCGTCACCTCATTACACGGCGCCCAGCTTCCTGATTAGCCAGAAAGCCGGCCTAGTGACGAGAAGCATGGAGCCGGCTCCCCTGCTAATTGTGAAGCCGGGTGGTGAGTCATTACACGCCGCCTAGCTTCCGGAATGGGACTTCTGGTATCGGTATTTGATATCGACGAGTACCGGAAAAACCATATCTGTACTCGTACTCTATACCGAAAATACCGGTATCAGTACATTCCTAATAAGCATGACTCTCCAGCTCCCTCCTATAGCTAAGTAAGATTTTTAGCAAATGAAAAGGTATGGAACAATAGTTGTTTTTTTTTGTTTTTTTTAATGTTCTGCTATATGGATGGAAACGTATCACAATTATTAAGTAGGTCCCCCATTTGTCTGCAACAGTGAAAATACACTTGAATGAAGATAGAGATATAAGATATTTCACATAGCAGTCTCCCAATCCCTCCCCATGGTGCATACACATAAAATGCAGGGACGTCCCAAACTGAGAATGAAGAGGATAAAGTCTGTTGCCTTTTTCTTTTAGTTTTAGCTAGGGAAGGGATACAAACCTTGCCAGGTTGCATTTTCTTTGTGTTGTCTGGGTCCAGTTGGGGAGATTTCCCTTCACTTTTTTTGAGAAGCAACAGGAAGTGAGAGAGAATCTCTACAAAGGGAAGTAGATCTTCCTCTTAGAGAGTTGTCACCACCAAGTATCCCCATTGGAAGATTTCCACTAACAACCTGTTGTGGTTTCAACTAGGGTTGCACAGATACCAAGTACAGTACTCGGTACAAGTACGAGTACATGTACCGATACTTTTGAGCTCCAAGACTAGACTAGAGAAAAATTAAAAAGTTAGGAGGCAGCTGTCATTTGTAAGGAGCACACGGAGCTCCTGGGATTTGTACATCTCTGTTTTAATGTACGATTTTGTTTTTATAAATATAAATAAAGGGATGCACAGATACCAGTTTTGCGAGTACGAGTACTGGTACTTGCCGAGTACTTACAAATACAAGTACTGATACATTTTTGTTTATTGTCATGTGACAGTTTTTCTAAAACAATACAGACTAATGATTTCAGGACAGTGGTGGAGCGCCAGATCCAGGTCCCAGCTGCAACCGCTGCAACCCTGGTAGTTCTCATGAAAATGCCAAGTATCTGCACTGGTACTCAAAAAGTATCTGTGCAACCCTAGTTTCAACTGTAAAATTTGGATTTCTCATCACTTTCTGTTGTGGTGACAGTTTGTCAACAAGACGAATAGAAAAGGTGAATCTATCGATCAGAGAAGCAGACCGCAATCAAAACTTGACATGACTTCTAATGCGCCCCACTCTCCATTCTGAATTGATTGCCAGGGTCTGGGGGGGGGGGGGGCAGACAAAATAGCTGCTTATTTTGTCACTTTGTGCAAGTGATCTGAGGTCATTTGTACCAAATGAGCAGCGGCTCTCCAGCACTACATTTAGCTCTGTTAGCCCCCAGCAGGGCTAAATGTAGAAAAAAAAACCCACCTGCCCGGTGCCTGGAATATGCATGCTCAGTATTTGGGAGGAGCGCCGTACAGCTATACTGCCTAGGACTATGTAGAAACTGCGTACCGCTCTCCTCCATATCTGTTTCCCTACAGTGTTTTCTTGACATTGGTCTACTATTGTCTCTCTATAGAAACACCACTCAGAAAACAAAAGCGTGGATCGTGTTGTGGAGACACAAGCCCAGGTGGATGAGTTGAAAGGAATTATGGTCCGAAATATAGGTATGCCCTTCCTGCTAAGAAACATGCCATGTGTGACAATTTATCATCAACAATGGAGCTACAATACACTTTCAGTGTTATTCACAAAAGGGTGAAGAGTTTGGAGAAGGCAGGAGAAGTGAACAATCTAGGACAACATCGCTGATTTGGAAACATTCTCCTATTCAGCTCACTTTCCAGGTCAGCTATGTTGTCCTAGATTGTTCACTTCTCCTGCCTTCTCCAAATTCTTCACCCTTTTGTGAATAACCCTGATAGTGTATTGTAGCTCCATTGTTGATGATAAATTGTCACACATGGCATGTTTAAGTATAAGCCCTGTGTAAGTCACATCGATGGGTTATGATGGTGATATTGTATGAGGTACTCGGTTGGTTTTCTAGTAGTGGGTGAGAAAGTTAAAGACAGATTCCAGATATGTATTGATTCAGATAGAATGGGGAAGAATTGGAATTCCTGGCAGATTTTTATTTCTGTCTGTGACCTTAATGGGGAGATGTTTACTCCTTTCCTGTCCCTGTGACACCTGGATAAGAAATTGGGGGAACGATGTACTAAAATGTGTTTTAGTCTGTGTCCTCATTGAAGAAACTTTCTATTACTTAAAGTGGACCTTTACCCCCTTTCACTAAAAATCACACCACCATGCAGCTCTGCATGCTGATTTAAAATCATCTTACAATCGTTAGTTAAACAAACGTGTTTTTCATTTACTTACAAATAGAGTTCATTTACTTCCTGGTCAACTTCTGGCACAAATGATGTAATGTGCTAAAGTGTTGCATCCTGGGAAGGTTGCATCAGCAGAACATTGCTGGGAAATCTCATCTGCAATCTCATGAGATCTCAGGGAAAGGCATGTCCCTCCCCTGAGATGATGTGCATGGTCACATGTCCTAGTCACATGTGCCAGAATTCCAGGAAGTAAAGGGAGATGTAGTAATCTGCCCTTAGCAAAAATGTCCACTATCAGAAGATTGGGAAAGAAAAGAAAACATTATATGCAAAGCATACAAAGCCGGCAATTATCTATATGTGTTTGTAGATTGTCATTACTAAACATTAACATTTCTAAAGGTGTCTTTGTTGTTATTTTAAAGATATGGGTAGAGGTCCTCTTTAATGTTCTGATTGGAAGTTAGTGGAAATCTGAACAGGGCCTCCAATGGCAATTAAAACTCTGACACGGGCTCTCCCCTTCTCTGCTCTGTCCCACAGAAAGCAAAATGTTTTAGCTGAAGTTGTCCTGTTACAAAATGAAGTAGAGGATTGCTCATAGCCAAGGCAAAGGTCTTACTGGGAATGGGGGGGGGGGG